GAAATTAAAACATACAACACCTGCTCACAAAGATATGCAATAGTGGGTTAACTTGCAATAGAGGAACTTAGTCCTTACACCCACATCTCAATATTTAGAATAAAAGCAGAAAATCTAAACATTGAATAACATCGAAACATATATATATATATATATATATATATATATATATATATATATATATATATATATATATATATATATATATATATATATATATATATATATATATATATATATATATATATATATATATATATATATATATATATATATATATATATATATATATATATATATATATATATATATATATATATATATATATATATATATATATATATATATATATATATATATATATATATATATATATATATATATATATATATATATATATATATATATATATATATATATATATATATATATATATATATATATATATATATATATATATATATATATATATATATATATATATATATATATATATATATATATATATATATATATATATATATATATATATATATATATATATATATATATATATATATATATATATATGTCAACCAGTTTGATTCAACCATATTCAACATGTTTTCATAAGCATTCCATCATCAAGATACATATACAATGTATCACAAAATAATTCTATATAATCCTAGCTATCCGGTGCTACATATCAGAGCCAACAAACCAAAAAGAATGAAGCCACGCCTCACAAAAGACCTCCAACACACTTACTCTGCAATGCCTCATAGAGCATCATAAAACAACAAAAGGGTGAGAAATATTATCATAATAATCAATGCATAGAATTATATATCTATATACAATCATAGAATACACATATTCCACATTCTCACCACATTCATCAAAATTCAACATATACATCACAATGTATATACACAAAACTAAGCATATTCATCATTCATGCTTCTACAATTCACATCATTTACACATAAACATTTACAATTATGTTTATTCACCAATCACAATTATAATGATGATAAATGCAACTCATAGAGACCGACTCACGACTTTATGCAGATGCAAATGCGGTACCGACTCAATCATCTCAAGTTCACTCAGGAACTTATTGGAACCATTGCTCATACCTCTCATATGCACACAATGTTCACCCATTGCTCACACCCCACATGGACACACAATGTTATGGATTGCTCACACCCCACCTTGGGCACACAACCCCGTTGCTCACACCCCACATGGCACACAACCATCCGTAACCACCGCTCACACCCCTCATGGGCACACGATGTTACGACAGATTCTCACTAGAATCACACAACATAAGAATGTATATCATGATACTTCACATGCAAAATGACTCCATACACTTCTTGAAATGCATACATATTCATAATGTTTTCATGCATTTTCATCTCATCAAATCTCATACAATCATCATACATTCACAATGTATATTCCATATTGTATTCATCATTCATCACGTTCTATCGCATACAACCAATATGCATTCACAATATCATGCCAAACGTCAACAAACTCCATCACAATCACCATGCATTTTTAATCAATTTAAACAATGCACATATATTTTCCAAAAGGCCACGATTCACAATTGATTCCACAATCTAGGATTCACGCCATACGGCTACCCACAACATAACATATCATAGCATACAACTATCCCTTAAGAGAAAGGGTTAATCACATTCGAATCGAAGAATCGACATTGAACGGGAACAACAAGAAAATCAAACACTGTCACGCTCGCTGAACCACTCGCCTAGCGAGGTCCTGGCGAACACTCGCTACTGGTTCGCCTAATGAACAAGCTCGCGAAGACAAACAGAAGCTACTGGAAGGATTCGCTACCTACTCGCTAGTGCCTCGCCTAGCGAGCACTTCGCTACATCACTCGCTCCCCGCGAGGTTAGATCTTTTGGTTCTGCCCAAGTCTGGGATCATTTGCTACTGGCTCGCTAGCAGCTCGCCTAGCGAACCACTCGCTAGCTCGCTCGCTAGCTGCTCGCCTAGCGAGTTCTGCGATCTCTCTAAAAACCCTTACTGTCTAAAATGGTACCTTGTCACAAAATCATCCGATTTTCACCAAACCAGTTTCTATAGCCTTAGTCTAACATTCTTCGACTAAACTACGTAATTTATTCTGGATTCTAACCATTCAAACATCAGTTTCTATCGATTAAACCATTTCGACCTAAAAATGGAAAATGAGTAAAAACTCTCCAACAATCCAAACCAATCCAACAAACACATACATAATCATACACATTGAGAAGATAATAAGATTTCACACCCTTACCCGATTAAATCGATTCCTAAGGGTTGATCTTGATGAATCCAAGCTTTCCTCTCTTTTCCTTCTCTAATCTTCTTCCTCTTTCTTTCTCTTCCTTTCTATTTCTATCTCCTTTCTTTCCACTTTCTCTTATATATATTTCTATTCTATTTCTCTCTACTATATTTTCTTCTCTCAAAATTATCTACCAATTCATATTCTCACAAAATATCCAACCTAACATTAAATACTAAATGTCTAAAATACCCTCCAATCTATTTCCCCGAAAACTCTCAAAATCGGTAAAATAACATAATATGCAAACATAACATATTAACACATAATTCCACAATCTAAAATAATAATCACCCAATTAAATAAAAAAGACTCAATAAAAATGGGAAATTAGAATCGGGGCGTTACAATCCCTACCCTTCCTTTCTCCATCTGATTTAATGACATTGAAATCACCTCCTACCAACCACTCCCCAGGAGGAAGCTTATTGTTCCACCCAATGAGTTTAGCCCACAACTTTCTTTTTTCCACCAAACTACATGACGAATACACATTAGCGAGATGACAATTCAACCATTTCCATAATACATTAGTCCCCAGAAACCCTTTTCCCCTGAAGCTTGACATTATGCATAGATCATCCTTCCTCCAAATTATTAAGATTCCACCAGACTAACCAATGGCATCAACAGCAGACCAATCACATTCCTTACTACCCCATATCCTATGTACCAAGTTATCCCCATTTTCTAAATCTTAGATTCCTGAATGAAACAAATATCAGCTTTACCAATTAATAGAATCTTCCTAATCCTTTTTTTATTGAGTTTCCACACCCTCGAACATTAAAGGAGACAATATTCATTGAACCGTAATAGTTGCCTCCCTCTTGTTTTCAAACGTTTTTCTGTCTCTATCCTCCATATTTCTGATAATCCCTTCAGATAACTCAACGTCCTATTCTCCTTCAATTCCCAACTCTTTGATTGTTGCCAAACTTTAGCTAGGACATCCTCAATTGATCTTCTGATGCGCGAATTACCATGATTAACATCTGAATCATTGATGGATTCACAACATAAAATGGAGCCCCTCGAATATCTAGATGTTGAATCTTCCACCTTGATGCTATGATGAATGAAACTGGATAAATAATCAGACGGGATCTAGGACGGAATTCGCTTGTTGACTGAATGAATAAGAGCAGAGAAACACGGAGGAGAAAAGAGAACTTTTATGTTAGGGGGACTCCCATGAATATTACTTAATCTGTGGTAAACTACATCAAACAAATTCTTTTATTTTTCTTTACACAAATCCTTTCACTTTTTTTTTTTTTTTTTAAACAAATCCTTTCATAGTGCGTTTTGTTTTCTTAATTTTATTTTAAGAAGTATGGTCTGTTTGTTTCTGATTTAAAAAAATATATTTTAAAAGTTTTTAAAATCAAATTTAAAAAAAATTAATTTTGAAATTCTATAAAATAAATATATATTATTGAAAACTATAACATAGTTGAAATTATAATTTTTTTCAAAAAGTTGTATCTATAAAATGATTTTCATGAAAAGATATTTAAATAAATTCAAACTAAATGATTTTATAAAATTTTGATATTCAAAAATTTTTAAAATAAAATAACTATTTAAATCAAATTTTCATTTAAACATTTTATAAAAAAATTTATTGTAAATTTTTTCAACACAAAACTATATTACACTATAAAAATCTTTTTAAAAAAACAAAAAGAAAGTGACCCTATATTTACTATTACAATTACACTGATCTTCACAACATTAATCATTAAATTAGAAAAACTATATAAAAGGATTTGATTGTGTTTATATGAATCTCACTTATTTATTTTAATAAAGGTAAAATTCCGATATAAATGTATTATTCCTTTACTCTTTACAATGTATTCTATTTTATTTTTTATTCTTATTACTTTGTTTTAATATCTGAGAAATTTATTTAAAGAAAAATTAATCTTTTGTTTTATCGGATGTTTATATAAACAAATATCCAATTAAATTATTCAATCATATCAAACAGATATTAAATGAGACTAAAATATTTTTAGAACAAATTAAAAAAGTAAGTTTTTTAGGTATTCATTAATTTTAGTTAGGTAGGAATACATTTAGTGTAAATTAATTTTTTATTATTTTAATAAATAAAATTTAAAAAAAAAAGTAATCTAGAATTAAATATCACTATTTGATTGAATAATAGTATCCATATCCAAATAAATTTAAAGATACTTGAATTCTCACCTTAAAAATAATATTAATATAAAATAATTTAATTAGATGTTTGTTTAAAAAATATTTACACTCTCATATTAATGTCATTATTACAAAAATTATATCTAAATAAATAAATTTTGGTAGCACTAAAACAAAACGAGTATATTTTCAATTACTAAAATCAAAAAATACTTGCTCTTACACTAAAATAAAATAAAAAAAATAGTATTTATAAAGATTTAATGCATACTATATTTAAACCCAAAATTGATACAAATTTAAAAAGGAAAAATTAGATTTGGAAATAATAATAACATTCCGAATTTGTCAGCGAAAAAATCGGAATCATGGCACAACACAACAAAATAAATAACAAACACCTCGTACAACACAAACACACCACCACCAACGACAACGTAAATTTAGGGCAAACACAACAATAATGTCATCATCATCCTCATCATCGAGTCACTCTCCTCCGTGTGCAGCGTGCAAGATTCAGCGAAGAAAATGCACACGAGACTGCATTTTCAAACCGTATTTTCCTTCCAACAATCCTCAAAAGTTTCTCTACGTACACAGAGTGTTCGGTGCTAGTAATGTCGCAAAGATACTCAACGAGGTGAACGAGTCGCAACGTGAAGACACAGTGAGTTCTCTCGCTTATGAAGCTGAAGCGCGTTTGAGGGATCCTGTTTATGGTTGCGTCGGTCTTATTTCGTCGCTTCAGAATAAACTCAAAAGCGTTCAGAATGAACTGAATGATGCAAAGAAGAATCTTGCTTCTTATATTGGGCCTCAGGCTTATCTTCCTTCTCCGCCTTCGCCGCCGCTTCCGCCTGCTATGGTGAATCCTTTTTATACTCAGCAACTGCGTCCAGATGTTGGTTTTACATATAATGGTGATAATAGCTTTCAAGCGCAATCTTTTCATCATCCGATGATGGTTTCTTCACAACAGCTACCACAACAATTCCATAACGGGTTTTGCTCCAAGAAGGTTTTCAAGACCGAAAGACGGAACCTTTGAATAGGGTATAGTTACTGTTTCATTCATCTGTTTGATTGATTTACCAATCAACAATTTTATGCTGAAACTGAAAGTATTGATTTTTATGGGTTTGTTGAAAGGTTTATTTGAAATTGTTTCTTTATTTGAATACTTTCGTTTTATGTTATTCAAATGCTTTGTTAATGTTTTTCTGTAAATGGGTCAGTTAATTTCTACATTTTCTGCAGCTTTATTGGTCTTCTCGGTCTGAGGTATACACGAGCAAAGATAGGAATTTGCAGTATAAGAAAGGAAGGTGTAGGTATATGAGAGTGGATATTGTTTTTTGAGTTTGATTTGAACTTTTTGGAGATGATTTTAAATGTAGATATGGATTTTAGAAAGTTGGATCTGTCATTGATGTTTGATAACGGTTTTGCTATTGTTTGAAGTACTGGACTGAACTTGTTTTATCGCTTTAAGACACAAATATAATCAAAACTTCCAAAGACTTTTATAGTCCAAACTTATTCTTATCATTTGTTGGGTGTCATGTTTGTATATCTCATACCTATATTTCTTGCACATTCTTGCTAAGTGGTAATCAAGTTGTTGTGGGAGCTTAGTCTACCTCTAGGTGTGATTATAAGTTTATCATTAGTCAGATTGTTATTTTATAATGAAAAAAGTTCAATTTTTTTATGAAAATGTATGAATCAAATTTGGTACTCTAGTATCGTTAAACCAACTTGTGTAGGAATATCAAATGAAAGGCGCATGTTTAGCATGTTTCGCAGACATTGTTAAATGCAAACATTGTTAAATGCAATTTATTAATTTAAGTATTGTATCAGATTAATATGGAGTGCGTAATATGTTGAAGCTGGATAAAAGAAGTTGAAGTCGGACGTATTTGATTATTATTAAAATGATTTAATTTTGTAACAGCTCTGTAATCTGTTATAAGACTGTTTATTTATTTATTTATTTATTTTTTGTGTGACATGTATCTCAATTATCTTGTAAGTTGTAATGTTTTGTATATGTATGTCTTGGAGACATCCTCATAAATGTGAATAGAATATACTTTTTAAGTCTCAATTAATTTCTCTCTCCCTCTTCACACTCTAATTTCTCTATTTTTCACCAATTGTGTGGTTTCAAGTTCAAACATTTGATAGTATGTTATGATCCACAAACACCTAGTGTGCAACATAAATTATGTCTCTACCAAAAGAATCCATACAAACCTACTCATCCTTGTGTAGCGGGGAAATTAGTGAGTGTAAGCTATTGATTAACTTAACTCAAAAATGTAAGATTCGCCACCGCACATTTATTTTATCCAAAAGAAATGAAAAAGAGCAAACAAAACCAACTAAAAGAACGCGATGGGAAGGTGTTAGCACCCAAAACGTCTATAGTACTCTATAGGAACCCTTTGAAATATCTACGCTTTTTGGTTTGAAAAGGTTTGTTTGAAAAGAGATTGGGGATATGAGAAGAAAAGAGATTGGGGATATGAGAAGAGAAATATTTTTAAGATTTTTGTCTTTGGAGAGACTTATCGTCTCATGCCTACGTACCCACAAAGTGCAATATAGGATCAAAACCTCGTAGTTCGTGGTATAAATAACAAAAATTTGTTGGTTATTATTCATTTTTAAATGTAAGATAAGTCGTCATTTTAAGGAGAAAACTACAACTAGTCGCCCACAAGTATAAGACAACACCTGCATCTCCTAACATTTGCATCACCTAATGACTCATATCTAAACTTTATGAAAAGTTTTAAAAGAAAAAGTGTGAAGGTGAGAAAATACTTAGAAGGGGGTTGAATAATTATGTAGAAAAACTTAGTAATAAAAACTCAAGGATTTTTATCCTGGTTCGTTGAACTCAACTACTCTAGTCCACCCTATCAAGAGTGATTTTCCTTTCTCAAACAAGGACTTAATCCACTATTAAATCAACTGATTACAATAGTAAGCACTAAGAACAACTGTTCAAAGTCTTCTCAAGAACTACTGATCCTAACTAGATCTTCTTAAGATTCTTTTACAAACAAATGTAAGAATAATACAAGTGTTTAATTTACTTCTAATAAAGCTATATCACAACTGTGATTTTTCACTTAAGATTTTAAGAAAAATGAAATAAATTCAGCAAATGAGTATAAATTGTATGAGAGCTTGTAATGAATTCTTTCAAGTATTTCGTCAACTGAAGAAGATGAATGGAGTCTTGCTTTTATAGGCACAGAGGTCCAAGTAGTTTTTCACGTTGAAGGTTGTGTACTAAAAAGGTCTGAGCCTTTTTGTCTTCACATCACATGACCTTTCTTAGAAGTAGAATGCACAGAAAAATCTTTTTTGTCTGTGTTCTTGTGTATAGCATAAATGAGGAAAGAGTCATTTGGTCATTCCAACAGACATAACTTTGAATTCTTCTTTAACAAGTTTCAGCAAGTATCATCAGAGTTTGGATTGATCAGAGCCTTCTGATGTTCATCAGAGTTTGCTGAATCAAAGTCTTTGCAGCAGGTGTGCTTTCAGCGTGTAATTGTTCAGAGCAGAGTTTGGGATCAGATCCTCAGTATTGACAGCGTTGGTACTATCAGAGTCTTCTGAAATAACTGTGCTTGAAACTCTTCATACAGAATTCTTCAATGCTTCAGATGCTTCTGGCTTCTGCTTCAGATTCTTCTGTAGCTTCTACTTTAGATCCTTCTGTAGACAGCACTCAGAATCTTCTGGAGGCAGCGTTCAGAATCTTCTAAAAGATGCTTCTGACGCTTCAGAGCCTTGCATAATTTTCATGTTCAGATCTAATTTGCTTCCAAAATAATATTCACTTTAATATCTGCAGCAAACATTCTTAAACAAATTTTTAGAGTATATAATTCTTTAATACAAAATTTCATAAGAGTTATCATCAAAACATAGAGATATTATTAAGAACCAATCTGTGTTCTAACAATCTCTCCCTTTTTGATGATGACAAAAACATAGGAAATTGTGTTCAATAAACAATATAAATATAACTCCCCCTGAGATGATGAATCTCCCCCTGAATTGAATACTAAGAAAGAATAGAAACTTCCCTTTTTGCATGAGTATTCTTTTCAGAATCAGAGTATGATTGTTCCAAAAAATTAGATCTTGACTTTGGATGCATGTTTCAGAATCAGAGCCTGATAGGTTAAAACTAGATCTGGGGATCTCAGAGTTACTCTTAAAGAACTTGTCAGAGTTTTCAAATGTTCTGAAATACTAAGAGTTCACGTTAGTTTAAACTTTATATGTCTGAGTTTTCATTTAGGTAGAGTTTATTTGAACAGTCAGGTCCATTTTCTCCCCCCTTTTTGTTATAATCAAAAAGTAAAACGTTTAAAAGACAAATAAAAGGAAATACAGAAAAGATAAATCATGTAGAGAAAACACTGAGTCATTCATTCATTCAGAGCAAAATAGACAAAACATCAGATAAATTCAAGTACATGTGCACAAACATCAGATACAGAAAAAAAACTAGGTTTGCTTGGACAGAATCATCTTCAGCAGGTGAGTGATCTCAGATGAAGACTCTTCTTGCTTTGTCATCCACTTAGCCATGTTGTCATTTTTTTGATCTTGCTTGGACATCCATTGTGCCATGTCTTCAGTCTTCTGGTCTTGTTTGGCCATCCATGACTGAATCTTATCTTCAAGATCTGGATTCTCTTTCTTGATCTCATATGAAGAAGGTGGGGCAGAGTCTGAAGCAGGAACATAGTCAATTTCCATAGGAGATGCAGAGTCATGAGCAACAGATCCAGAGGGATATTCCACAATAGTCATAGTCAGAGGATTTTCTTCAGAAGCAGATTCAACAGTTACTTATGTATCAAATACTTCAGAAGATGAAGGAACATCTTCAAGAAGCAATGGTTCAGATCTTTTTACAGACCAGATCATGCTTTTAGCAGTCTCAGCAAATCTGAGATTCGCATCATCAGAACGTACATTCTTCAGATTTGAGGCTACAGTATTGAATCTGTTGATGAAGCTATTCCAGATAGCATCAGATTCATTTGCATCCATTGTTGACAAACATCTCTTCTGAACAGAGCCTAAATGCATCTTTATTTCTTTCAGAAAACTGGCAAATAAATTATCAACATTCAGCCTAGTTTTTGGTTTCAGAAGGGTTTCCAAAGTGAAAGGCTTGGGTTGAGGTGGAGGTGGAATGGTGAATTCTGGAATAATGATTAGAGGGCTAGGATATGCTGGTTTATTCTGAGCTGGCATAATACGAAAGAATGGTTTGATTCTGTGAATGGAAGGTATGACAGCTTTTTGATTGTCAAAATAGGGAACAAATGCAGATTGTTTTTGCTTAACATGAAAAGGAACAAAAGCTGATTGAGGTGGTTGATCAAAAAAGTTTTCTATTTCAAGTCCAGATGGAAGAGGATCAGATGGAAATGGTTTAGCAGAAGCAACTGAAACAAATTCAGATGTTCTTGGTTCAGGAATGGTAGTTTTAGAAGAAATGGGTAGATCTGGTTGGTTAGATTCAAATGTTCTGAGAGAAGGGGGTGAGATGAAATCTGGATGGATATCAGATTCAGAAGAATCAGATGATGTGGTTGGGGTGCAAGAGGTAGAGGATACATCAAACATAGTCTTGAGAGGTTGAACATCCAGAATCTCAGAGTCATGAATATCTGATTCAGGAGGATTGGACGGTTCTGGTTGAATCTCAGAAGGTTTGGATGAAGGTGGGTCAGACACAACTGGGTCAGATGCAACATGATCAGATGCAATAGGTTCAGATGCAACTTGCTCAGATGCAATTGGGTCAGATTGTATGGGTTCAGATTCAGCTGGTTGTTGTATTTCTGGTTGTTGTTGTGGTGTAGGTTGTTCTGTTGGTTTTGTTTGAGGTGTTGGAATAGAGTCTGCTGGTTTTGTTGTTGTTGGTTCAGATTGAGGAATATACAGAGATTAGGAGAATAACATCTCGCTTACAAATTCGACTTAGTTCCGATTTAGGGA